GTTTTAAACTTGCATTATAAGCTTGCAGTGATTTTTAGGCACATTCAAGCCCTGCATAGTGCCTATTAAAATCACCATCCATCTGTCCACATATCTGAAATGACTTGAGAATGGATAAATTGATTTTGATTAAATTTTATGAAAACTTTATTAAAAACTATCATGCCATTTCAATTTTCATTTAAACTGGACATTTGTAATCCAATTCTAAAGGGTTCTGACGATGGTAGATTGCATTTAAAATTATTCATTATCAGGACAGTGACAGAAACTAGCTCTATCTAAAGGACCGAACAAGATAGGTACCTCTCACCTGAAGACAGAGACAGAACCAGCCTCCGAAACATCGTGGGGTTTTTAAAGAAAAGATGATGGAAAAAGTCCTGATAATGAATGATTTTAAATGGACAACTGTAATTGCCACTTTATATAAGAACTTAAGATGTTCTTTATGTAATCTTATTGCAATAGGCCATTCTACATGAAAACACATTTTTCAGCTATTTCAGCAGAAGACTGCAACAATTAAAAAACTGTTTAAATCAGATTTTTATTGTGTTAATTTAGTGCTCTATTACAATGCACACTTCTTGCCAATTTGAATATGAATTCAATTAAGAACAAATAGTGGCATATGAATTTAATGCTTGTTTATTGTACAGAAAGAATTCATTATTCATTATTGGGTTAATTTTTTTTGTGCATGTACTTTATAATTTCTTCTAATGAATGCACTGTGTACTTTTACAGTCTTTTTAAAATTAATTTATATGTATAATTATAAACTGAGAGGAAGGTAATTTTCACAAGCCTGTACTTCCATTGGAAGGGTCTGTGTTCAATCCCCAGTCAGATCTAACTACACAGATCAAAGCCTCCACCTCTACCAAACCCTAAAATTTTTAAACCTGTAGATCACCAAGCACCCACTCTACCCATGTTATAAACCATAAGATCCCTCTGCCAGCTATAATTTGTGCATGTAAAAAAGTCTTCCTTAAGAGTGCTCCCATGTCAAAAATTTATCCCTTTACTTCACTGGACAAGAAAAGACCAAAGACTAGAACTACAGTATATACCCGAAAAAGAGGTTCGATTGTGGTCTTCTGGGTTGTGATTCCACGCAGTCTTGCAGGAGACCACCAAACTGGAAGAACACAGCACCTGCATTTTTAAGGTAGAACCACTTAGACTAGAAAACCATATGGCATAAAAGCTGAAAAGACTATAACTGACACTGAAGCAGCATAAATTCTGTCCTGTTCTCAACAAGGATCTGATGCAAACTAGCAGAACATTGTCATCACACCAGTAGATAGACCTTAATTTATAATTTATGTTTCATCCATAAGTTATATTATTTTGTAATCAAATATAAAATAAAAGGGGAGGAGGGGAGTGGCATCCATACTGTACTGATCTGTAACTGCACAGAATTTATAGAAACTGTTTAATTAACCCACTATTCTTAACACACTAAACTACATTCAGAAAAGAACAGTGTGCTGTACCCACTAGGCCATCCATCCCATTTTATTATTGACTGCAATGCGCCCACTGTACAAGTAGCACAGTTAAAACACTGCTATTACAAAACCTTAACACTGCTTCAGCATTGTAACACATCACTGAGCAGACTTGGCAATAGCTGCTTCCTTCTCTTTAGCTGCCTCCTCATGTAGTTTTGCGTGGTACGCCAAACCTCGAACAGCAAGACTATCACCCCTCTGAGCAGCTTTTTTACCACTGTACACTGCAGCCCCAGCCAGAAGAGCTGTCGCAATCATCATGTAGACTGCAATCTTGACGCGAACCTTGTTGAGAGCTGAGTCTATCACTCCATGTCTGAGGACAAAACTTCACTAATGAAATATGGGTAATACTGAACTCCGATGAGCAGAATCCTCCTTGAGAAGCTGATACTTTCTTCTCAGCTAATAAAAAAAATGTTCCACCTTTATGGAACCTGTAAATTCATTACTGTGTTCAGTGGGTCCCTTATCATCAATGAAGGGCATGTCCTCAGGTTCTGGTCACAGATGCTTCCACATATAGATGGAAACTGCAAATGTGCTGAATATGCAGTTGTGAAGAGCTAACAAGGGTTGGTTCCCCAGGTTTGGCATTGGGTAGGAGCTGTGTACAGTCAAAGTCCGTTACAGCTCCACACTTTGTCCACCACCAATTATGGTATTAAAGTTGGAGGGGGGCAGGAAATTGAAACTTCTCCCTCGCCACTGAGAATATCTCCGACACAGTGCTAATATGACTGAGTACCAGTTTATTCCCTACTATTTTCTTTAAAGCTTCAACCCTCATCTTGTATTCTGTTTTCACTGAATAATCAACACCAGACACAATGATAATAATTGTAAACAGTTCAATATCATTGGTTTTGCACTCAAAATATGATGTTAACACACTTAAGATGTAATATGACACTATAGTCCAGCTCCAGCTGAATGGTTTGTACTTCTTCACTACTTCCAACAGTTAAATAAGACTATGGCTATCATATTATTTATTTATTTATATTAAGTATGTCCTGGTCCTTCCTGTACAGGTTTCTGTGTACTAGCAAGCTTACTTTAGAATGGAAATCTGCTCACATGTACTTTAAAGTCAGTCTAAAAATTATTGACTAAGTAATCAGATATAGTTCTGGTAGTTTAGAAATCAACATGAGAAGGTTATTTTACAGTAAAAAATAGTGACAGCACTATTGTTTCTTCATATCTTAAAAATTGTTTATGATGCATCATCGCATGATCAAACAAATATAATGATGAAAACCGTTTTACTTACGAAACTCTCTCCGGGACATCAGCGACTGACTTGTATGTCCCAGACCATACCAAAGCATATTTCTGGTATGGCTTCACCACATAAGTCATTTTTTCTGTGAAATAAATGTAAAAGCTTTAAAACAGACAGACATATTTAGGAATGAATGCAAGCAAACAAACACACTCACACTTACACTTGCATAAAATATACAATAAGTGACCATTCCTTGCATTCAGCCTTGTTCTGTTAATCACCATCAGTAGCTGTGACTCAATTCTGCTTACTGTAGCATATGTTGAGAAATAGCTATGATGAACACAACCAAGAAATAATCTGTAACATATGACTGTTGTTAGTAAGTTGTGTTAAATTTAGAAGTCCCTTTATAAAGATACTGATCAAACATAAAATAATCTTGTTCTAACAAACATGTACTATCCCTGGAGAGACAAGAAAATTATTAAAACCCCTGAAGCAAGATGGCAAAAACCTAGTCAAGATCTGAACCAAGTATTGATATCAGTATAAAGTATTGCTGTTACATCAAACCTTCATAATAACAGACATTCATAGATTTTAGATTTTTACAGCAATGTGAGTTTGGATGGTTGTTGCACCATGCAGTCTTCTGCGTGTATACCAACATTCTGGTCGAATGCTCTGTCTCCATCTTCAAAGGTGAAGTGAGAAGGGCTAGGAATATGATAACTTATACAGAGTAAGGTGGAGGTACAGACCAAGTACAGAAAGATGGGCCAAACAAAGCCATGGGAGGGAATGGGGAGATGCAGATTCACCTCAACTCCAAAGTTGGAGGCAGCAAGTTTATTCAAAATGCTGATATACAACCACAGGATGACCTAAAAAATGTTAGTGCTTAGTCTAACAACAGATTTCCAAATAAAATGGAATGAAGGTGGGAAACTAAGATTCTAAACAGCAAAATGACTACATCAGTATGTCATCTTACAACTGTTGTAAAATCTGGGATAAAAATCTTCTAATGGTCTAAATATGCCACTTTCAGTTGGGCATCTATACAGATTATGCAGTCAGGCCTGCCCTTATTCTCGTTAGAGGTTATGTTATTTTTAGACGACCAATTTTCACAAAATGGGACAAAAATGTTGACATTAATCAAGATACCGTCCTTCACAAAACAAAGTACTCTAAATAAACTTAACATATGAAAATCAAACCGGAAATGTGCATCTATGTGAAATCAAAACTCATCTGAAAAGTCACATTCATAGTAACAGACCGACACGGTGCTTGTAGTTTGAAGTCTCCACAAATATCAATGTGTAGGTGTTGTTTTTATCTGTTATATGTATCACTGTAACAAACTTACGGTGCAAAGACGTAGCATTCTGTTCTGTAACTGCCTCTGATGGAACTGTTGGTTTCTCACTCCTTGGTAAAGTCCTTGAGAAGTTTCGGCTTGTGTTCACCACATACCTATAGGGATACCTAGCCCCAGCCGAGACTGTTCTTAATAAGTTTGACATCACTCTAAGCGAATGTGCTGACTGTAAATAAAAGAACAAGCACAGACTTAGAGACGCACTGAAAGTCGAACCCCCATAGCCAATTAGCGATCTCGGATTCTATTCACAGCCTGGGTGACAACTTTCCGTCATAATACTACTTCAGCCCCTAATTAAACTTTATTAACAATCTTAAATAATGTGCTTTATTTTTACCTGTCTTAAAGACACTACACGATGCTCAATTCTATCGACACTACAACACAAAGATGACGAGGAGAGCTGCTTATATAACCCCAAGAATCATACAACCACCAATATCCCTATTTTTGTGTAATGTCTTTGATGCTGATATTGGTCTGCTCGCCTTTCTCCTCATACAAACAT